AAGGATTCAGCTTTCGTGCATTCACAGTGTCAGTTAAATGATACATTTTTTGTGATTGCTCAAATGCCTAGAGTGCATAGAATTCGAAGGGTGTCTATCGATAAGAGAGGTTTCTAGGAGGACCAAAGATCCTTACCTAGTATACTGCAGTGTAAACGAGCGTGGACTCAAGAAGGCCGAGGACAGAGAGCGAGGAGTTCTGGACGTCCCAGAGTTTTTAGTACTCGACCCATAGCTAATCAGTGGTTGCAATAGCATGGAAGGATGGTTGGTATGCGTACTGCATATAGCCGAATACTACAGTTTGGCATTTTTTTATCGCCCACATTGGGTGCCACCTCTCACAGCTGAACATCGGCGTAACCGTTTGCTCTGGTGTAGAGAAACAATTCTACGGTACCGGTAATGGAATCAGGTAGTCTTTAGTGACGAATCCCGCTTCTGCCTGGGTCGGGCAAGAGTGAGAAGGCGACGCCGACGTGCGGAAAGACGTGACCTACAATTTGACAGAGAGTGTCATGTTCACCACACCGTGGGAGTTATGGTATGGGGTGCTATTGCTTATGATATCAGATCACCACTAATTTTCAGCCCGACGCTATATTCAGGAAGAAGTGGAGCCTCATCTTATTCCATACCTAAACACCATCCAAAACACTATTTTTCAGCAAGACAATGCCAGACCGCATATTGCCAGAGCAACGTTAGCCTTCATGGATCAACATCGAATCAACCGTTTACCTTGGACATCACGATCGCCTGACCTATCTCCAGTTCAACATGTCTGGGACATGGTAGATTGCAACACCTTCCACAGACTTTAGCAGCTCTTACTCACGAAGTTGCAGTAGTCTGCAATGAGATACCCCAACAGAATATCGACCACCTTATCAGCACGATGCATAGGCGTGTCAATGAGTGGATAAGAAATCGTGGATCCTCAACATATTATTGAACCAGCTTCTGCAGTCAGATGACGAATCAAGCTGAAAATTTAATCACTTTACTAGTAAGGGACACTGAACATATAAGCCAAAAATTATTAAATCGGGTAAATATACTAAGTGACATATAAATCCGAACACCCAGTTTAAATGGTTTTATTTTAATAAAATTTTGTATAAGTACTTAATGAAGCATAATAAGTAAATGATAAAAATTTCAAAATGATTGCACTGCTTTAAAGCCCTTTGACCTTTAATAATGTGTGGATGCACCCTGATGTACTACGCATTCTCCAACGCGCCTAGGCATGCTTCTGATCAGGTGGTCAATGTCCTCCTGTGGTATCTCATTCCAGGCAACTACCAACTCCTCTCGAAGTGCTTCTAGAGTCTGAGGAGGACGTTGCAAATTGAGCAATCTCCTACCCATCAAGTCGGGAGATCTTGGTGGCCATGGTAACAATGTGACATCATTATGTTGAAAGAAGTCTATTGTGACTCTTGCAACATGTGGTCGGGCATTATCTTGTTGGAAAGTTGGATCTGCCAGGGTGTCAAGATAGGGTAAAAGTTGGGGTTCTAGAACTTCGTGGATATAACGCTGCGCGTTCATGTTACCTCTGATGAAGATTAAAGGTGACCTGGAACCATAAGCTATAGCACCCCAAACCATAACTCCAACAGTGTGATGAACATGTCTTTCAACAAAAAACTGTGGATTCCTCCTTTCACCACGTCGCCTTCTAACCCTGGCACGACCATCGTGCATGCCTGAACAAAATCTAGACTCGTCACTAAAGACAATACTGTTCCATTCCTGATCCCAGAGTGATCGTTGTCTGCACCACTCAAGGCGATTACGTCGGTGTTCTCGAGTTAAAGGGAGGACCCAGTGTGGCCGGTATGAAAACAAGCCAAAACTTCTCATTCGTCGGTAAACACTTCGCATGCCAATAGGTCTTCCGTGTTCTGCAAACCATTCATTTGCAATGGACCTGGTAGTGGAGAAACGGTCCCTTAAGGCCAATAATCTTAGGCGGCGATCTTCACGGTCTGTTGTTCTACGGCGGCATCCAGTGCCGCTTGCTCTTTGCGTACGGCGTTCTCGAAGACATGCCTGACAACACCTAACCACAGTGTCTACACTTCTTTGCACTCTAACTGCAATTGCCCGAAAAGAAAGTCCAGCTTCCCGAAGTCCCACTATACGGCCCCTATAAAGCTCACTAAGTTGACGAAATCGTACAGGTCTCCGTACTCTAGGCATCGTAACCGATTGAAAAGGATGTCAAGAACCAAAATCCGCCAACGTTGATTCTTTACTGCGGCTGAAATATTCATTTTTAGAGCGTTAGTGAATTAAAAAAAAGCAGTATAAAAACCGGAATGTCCAACTGATAAGGCTGAAAATTTTTTCACTTGTTATTTACAGTAAGATAAATACATTCACCAACTTTTATTAAAATAAAACCATTTAAACTGGGTGTTCGGATTTATATGTCACTTAGTATATACGTAGTTGTTCACCTTTTTTGTCACTCAGTATACTTCACTCAACTGGCGATGAATTTCTATGGGTGGTAACGGATGACCGCACGAATTTCATATCTGGCGGTGATGCAGATGAAGCGCTCCATTGCGCATGGCTGTCAGACAGGTACTGAGCGTCGCCAATAGGCGCTTCTTATTGGGATCGGTGATGGGGGAGCCGATAAACACGACGGTGTTGCCAGATTTCACCTAATATTATGTGCAGCAAAGATACAGCGTTTTGAGACAACCTTCGTATCAGACTCGATACAGAAACCCCTGTAGCAAGAAAACACTTATACGGTTTTGAATCTTTATTATCCACGAACAGAAAACTAAATTAGAATAAATTAAGTTAAATAAATAGTACATAGTATATACATATACATACATCGTCTTAACATATTCCCACTTCGTCTCATATATTTCATGCTTCAAAATCTAGTTTGAGCTGGGTGATTTAGGCATACCATGTATCGACGGCTAGTATATTCAAGGATATACATGTTTTGATTATTTCGATGCATTCCGCATCAGGCAAATCTGAAATTACTCAAGACTGACGGCTCTAAGGGGCGTATCGTCAGCCGTATCTGCAATTATTGTGGTTTATGGCCTCCTTGATTTTCATAGAATTTACTTTTCTTCAAAAAGGCTGGGGTATTTCTAGATTTCTATTGTTCCTTGTCAGCGTCAGCGCTCGTCTGTTGTGAGGTTATGTTTTCCTTTTTTATCTTAAGAGATTTCAGTTAAAACTGTTGATAAAAATCAAGTTTTGTCCGCCCGAAATATCTTAGAAAAACTATGAAAATCAATGAGGCCATCAAGGCCATAGATATGTAGTGTCAGTCACTGATGTTAACACAGACCCATTGGAATAGTTCTTTGACATGAGAAATTGCAAGTTTCCGATTCCTCAGATGGCTGCTAGGGGGGCTAACGCTAACCTCAACACACAAAATGGCGTTTTTTCTGCGAGTCTTCCTTACGACTGCCTCAATTTTTGTGGTATTTTTTCCAACGTTGTATCAAGAGAATCTTCTTAAGCTATATTTGAAGTGATTACTTCATACTATTAGATCAGTCTTCTACAGGGTGGGCAATAATAAAACAATGTAAATGAAAGCAGGTTATACCTAAGAGAGTGTTAGGAACACTCTTCCAAACGGAACCTCAAATTGTCGAACACTCGCCTGCAAGCAGCACCTGGCGTGTGAAGAAATGCGGGGGAAAAGTAGGGCTCGTCATCAACTGGTCACCATCTGGGTCAGTCCTTGCGATTACAATTACTCATAAAATCATCTTGTAGAAACATTCTAAATATTCTACATTTATCGGTTCCACATTTTTGCAACATTCAATAAGATCCTCATTCAACTAAATCCCCGTAACCTCTTATTATGGCAAAGGCAAAAATACTAGAAAAGGTTGTTATAATTCATTCATATGCCTACTTTTGTTGCTCGAGATCTCAAAATCGGTTAGAATTGGGTGTAGGATGAAATACATAAAATGCATATAGATTCTCTTACAGAATAAAAAAAATGAATACTGTACCGGCTGACAATGAAAATTGGAAACACGCTGTATTTTTTGGAAAATAAAGATATCGCTCCAAGATGAGACATGTTTAGTGAGTCATTAAGAGGCATTTCTGGAAATTTGAATTTGTTACCTCTCCCTTCCGGTTTAACCGGAAGTGATCCAGACTTTCGTTTTTCAAATGGAAACCTGTATATTTTCTTCCACAATCGTACTCTATGCAAAATTCCCTTTCCGACGACGTCACAAGTGATATTTTCATTTTAAAATATTGCTTACAAGAAAAAAAATATTCTAAACTGTCAATGTGGCATGATTAACAAATATCTATCAAAATGGGCTAAACAAATTAAAGCTTATAATTATGTATTTTCCATCGTGGGGGAATATGCCGCGCTGTGTAATACGTCGCAGCTTGTTATTTTCCTTTTAAGCCCATATTTGGCGACAGTGTTAATTTTAACACGTTCTTCTAATGTAGCAATTTTCTGTGAATACCTCAGAAATCAAATTAATTAGTTTTTTAGTGAATATCGACAGTTTAAAGGTAAGGACTGTTTAAAGAATATCCTCAAGTCAAGTTATACTCAGTGATCAAAGAAGTTGTAAGTGTTCTTGATCCAATTTTAATAAGAATATGCCAACATACCTAACTTTTCTTGGCGGAACAATCCGTTAAATACATATAAATAAAATAGTAGTATTGCCACTTTTTGATGTAATAAGGTACAATGTAATAAGCCTATAGTAGAGAGTGGGGACTCAGAATTGGAACATGATGTATAAGAATTTTGTGCCCAATGCGGTGGATACTATTTTGATAAAAAAGGTCCCAAATGTAATTAGTTGCAATGTTGAAAATGCCATGATTGGGTTCACGAGATATGGACTCCTTCAGACATATATTGTAGCGATTGTGTCCCACTAAATCAACTAGCGAATACCTCCAGAGTTCTGGAGATAAGGTTTATTAGCCTCGTTGTATTACTTAATAATACTTGTTACGTTGTAAGGATTATATATTTTTTCTAACCTAAAAAAAATTGCCCTATCATTCACCTTCCCTTCCACCCTCAACTGTGGTCTGAGGCCACCCCATATGTGCCTCACAAGCTCCCTAGCATCCTGTCTCCCTTCCAGCCCGCATTCTTCTCTAATATACTTTGCGCTTTCACCCCCTCTTCCACACTCGCAGACCATACTCCCTCTCATCAATCCAAACCTATGTAGGTAGGCCGGAAAGTTACCATGACCCTTCACCAGCTGTCCAGCTTTAAATCTGACGGGCAAATGGTCATTCACAACCTCCCTACAAAGCTCCCTCCCTTCCACGCTTGTATCCCATTTAATCTGCCATTCTTGCATCATACGCTCCTCCATGCTCTTTCTCCTAGTACGTCTTTCGTACCCCCATTCATTATGCCAATCCACCCTGTCTCTCTGCCTCCCCTCACGCGCTTTTCTGTCAGCCACCATTTTCATAAACCCACATGCTCCCCTCTCGATCCATCTTATCTCCACATGCATCTCCTCCGCTCTCAACCTTCCAATCAGCGTCTTAATCTTCATTCGCATCTTCCCTTTCATTCAGTAGCTCTGCAAGCTGTCAACCGCCACCCTGCAGTCTGTGAATACCTCCAGGATGTCCGCACCTAGTCGTATCCCTGATTCCAGCCCCCTGTAGATAGCGGAGAGCTCCCCCAGCAAGGACGAGGAAACCCTCCCAACTCTTTCGGAAGCTTGAACCTGGACCTGGCTACACCGCGTTGTCACCATACCCACGAATGTTCTATCATCGTCCACTCTCGGGTCCACATATATCTTCCATCCTGCCTCGTTCGGTTGTGTTCCACTCACGCTGACATCCCAAGCCGGGTGAGGTTTGTCCTTACCCCTCACCTTGTAGTCCCCACTCATTCCTCGCTCATTCTTCCTCAGTATCCATATTTTATATGCTACTATATTCAGAGGTTTCATCCCGTTCAACAATTCCAGGCTTTCTGTCGCCACGGTCCGATATACCCTTCCAACCATCAATGCACTCAACTGCTTCCTTACTCTGCTGTCATTCGCCCTTACTTCCCATACCTCACACCCATACAAAATCGTACTCTTCAATACTCTCTCATAGATAAGTTTGGAGACCTCCTTCCTTATCCCCCACTTCCGTTGTACGACCCCCTCATTTTCCCAGTTCCCTTACCGTCTTACTAACGTCCTCCGGGGACTCGAATTCTAATATCCCCGCACACGACTCCTTCCTCTTTCTCTGCTCCTCCTGCCCATGGGGTGGGGTCCTTTGTAGAGATTGTCTGCTCGGTATCTCTCCCTTTAACATCGCCTCCATCTTCAACTCTGCTAGATTCTTTCCAAACTGATCCATCTCCGCTATTTTGGAAAAATTCGGTATTGTCTCCTCTCACTTCTGTGCTCCTGATATCTCTCGTGTTTTATTTTTGCAATAACGGCCTTGTTTATTGACCGATTGGCCTGAAATTTGGAGGGTGAGTATATCTTATTACCTCCCACACTCCACCACCGCTTGAACTGTCCTGCCAAAAGGGCAATACTGTCTTTAGGCCGAAATGGCTAATTTCTTGTTGTGACCTGCACATAGCGTATCAATAGAGATTTTTGCTTCTAACCATTCTTCAGTCTGGGATTATGTCAACGAGCATTTCACGTCACATACGAGTACTCAAATATACACGCTCTAAGATGACGCCTTCTTCTTGTGGTTGGGTTGGTTGCTTGTTCGAATGTGAGCTTTTGAAATTTATGTTGCCATATTCTCCCACTTTATACTTATTTAAAAAATCAGGAATTCACATCTTCAACACAGGATTTCCGATAGATTTTGAATAGGACCCTGTATAACTTTTTCAGAAATATTATTCTACGTAATGTTCTCTATTCAATGATGTAAAACAAGTATTACTTTTGTTGTCAAATGACAGCTGCATAATAGAATTTGTGAATTAGCCTCCATAAGCTATGGGGTTTACAAAACAATTTTTTTTATTATTGGCTCTAACGCTAAAACGCATGATGTTATGCAAAATAATATCGGTTTAGTAACAAATTAAAGTTACAACTATTTCATAGAAGCTATCAATCGCCGCAAGAAAGTAAGGAGGCTATGAAAAATTAGGATGTTTTCAAATAGCATCTATTTGAAAAGAATAGTAGGTTGTGGAAGACAAATGAAAGTCAATTTATAGCGTACCCATTATTGTTTAGTTATTTGACGTTTGCCAATCTTCGTTTCACTTAAATTTATTTTCACTATTCCATAAAAGGTGAACCTATAGTATTTTTTATTATGAGTTTTACTAGAAAAATTCTAGATATGCTTATGCGTTGTATGCTCAGCGATATCCTAATAGAAAACATCCAAGTTATTCATACTTTTTCAAGTTAGAGGCAAAGTTTAGAAATGGTGATGAAGAACCCTTTTGTAGTAAGTGAAGATAAATGTTTTGCCATATGGTCACTTTGACCCAAAGGTAATATATCTACTTGGCTACTGGAACAGGCAACAAATAGAAATCGTGAGTCAGCTAGGCAGATTTTGAAGAAACATTGATTCTGCTCAGGCACACCATCACTTATATGAAAATGATTTTCCAAGATAATTGACCTACTGTTATTGGTTTCGTGCTCAAGTTCAAGAAGATAGAAATTCTCATTATCATATTTTGTGGTCTGATGGAACGCGTTTCACTAATATTGGGTTATTTAATAAAAATAATACACGTTACTGGGCAACTGAAAATCCACGTTTGATAAGAGGGGCCTGATTTTTTCATTTGGGCCTGAATGAATGAATGAAAACACGAAATTAGAGGCATACCGGCCACCATAAGGAGCCAGCGCATAGGCCACTCAGGCGGGCCCTTGTGCACCTCCACATTTCTTAGACCTCAAGCCTCGCCATTCTAGCGAAGTCCAGTATGGCCTTGAGCCCAAGCTCCTTAATGTCCTGGGGGTCCAATGTGATGGACCCCAGTATAGTCTGCCTGTAGCATCTAAGAGCCTGGCAGCGACACAGAACGTGCGCCGAGGTCTCTTCTTCTACCCCGCAGCGCTCACACAAGGGATCCTCAGCCACCCCCATCACGTGGCGCCTTAATGTGCTTAGGTTGGCTCTATCCCAAGATAAGCAAAAACGTCCGTCCTTAGCGTTGGGCCCTGCAATGAGTTCCCGTGTCTGATTTAGGTGTCTGGAGGTGCTTCTCCATTTCTGAGAGTGTTGTCTTGCAATCCACTTCTCTGTTTTTCGACGTCTCATCGCCCTTTATCCCAGCATGTCCCGGCTCGAAGTAATCTTACAGGCACTTAGTGCCTTCATTGCAGCCTGGGTGTCGGAGAAGATTGCCATCCTTCTCCTAGGCCCACCCCTCTCGAAAACGAGGGATACACAAGCGAGAATCGCAACGATTTCCGCTTGGAAAATCGTGGTGTATCCACCTAGACCCCGAGACCCCGACGCCAGAGGCCTCTTCGGTGACCGAGCCGTCCGTGTACCAGACTTGCACACTCACTCCAGTCAGCCTCCGGTAGCCGGCGTCCCACTCCTCCCTCGTTGGATACTCCACATTAAACATGCGGTTGAAGCGATACTTAGGGGTAACTACAACGCTCCTGCTCAGAAGGACAGGATCCTCCCTTTGCAGTTCGACCAGGATGGCAGTATGACACTTGACGGGAATGAAGAAGGCCCAGCTGCCCTGACTCCTCAGTCGATGTGCGACTACTCTCGCCTCTCCGCGGATCCAACGGCGGGAGATCCAGCAGAGCTTCCATTGCACTCAATGGCGTTGTCCGCACTGCGCTTGTAATGGTAATACAGGCCAATCGCCGAATTTTATTGAATTTGGCCTTATTCGCCTCCTATGAATCTAATAGATTTAGAACACCAATTAACACCTTATATGAAGATTTTTTAAACAATGGGCATGCAGAAACCACAAGGAAGGTCAATAAATGCGACGAAAATAATGGAGGACGCATTAAACTGTATTAGCTTTAATTATGAATGTTTAATAACTTTTAGTTCTTAATTTTGTAATATTTTTATAACTAGAATAGTTGGGCAAAATAGGTAGAATAGGGTAGAAGAAGATAATATTAATACATACTTGCAGGTTGCAGTAATCAAAGGGAGTTATTTTGCTAGTCTATTATTATAAAATAGAAAAAAAAATTACTTTGCCTGATATTATATTTTTTTATTATGATCACACGGCCCACCTTAACAGTTTCAAATATTTTTTGTCTTTAAAGCAATTTGGCGGATTTTAGGTAATTCACAAATTTCCTTTATATCGCCGTCATTTTAAAACGAAAATATTACTTGTGACACATAGTTGGAAAGGAAAGTTTGAAAAAAATATACAGGTTTTCATTCAAAAACGAAAGTCAAGGGTCACTTCTGGTTAAACGGAAGAGAGAGTCAACCCATTCAACTTTCCAGAAATGACTAACTAAACATGTCCCAATCTTGAAGCGATATCTTTATTTGCCAACAAACTACAAAGTGTATCCAATTTTCATTGTCACCCGGTATAGCCTACGCCATGCTAGCATAAACCAGGGACCGCTTAAGGAGGCATTCCCGCATCCAAAAGGACGTCTAGCCGCCAAAACGACAATCGAGTATGAAGTTGTCTGTCGATTTTTTAATGTAGATACGTCACCCTCGATCATAGTTCCGAAAACGTGAAAAACCCTCCTAAAAGGCGAAAACCCACCCAGATCTAATAACGTATGCAATCTTCGACTAAAATGTTGTAACTGCATTGTTTACGCATCTGAAACGATAGAAATAATAATTCGACACTTAAAGGGAACCGTGTTGTTTGTCGTGGTCTATGCTGGTTTTGCATGGTGCCATCTTAATATTTGGAATAATGACTTCGTGCAATCTCGGCATGTTACGGACCTTTCAGACTACTGTAGTAAACACACTGTATAGGAAATATGTGAATGAAAAGAAAAAACAAAACCAATGTCACCGGGGAGAAAGATACATACAATATTGTCCAAAATTGTCATGTACTCAAGAAGGTCACCGTTGTTACCCAACGTTTACAATATTAAAGGAGAATTTCCAATATACAAGGTGGCCCAGCAAAAAGGTCGCGCCCTCTGTTGTGACTCTCCTGGTATAATTATAGATATTTGGAGTGACTCGAATCTACATTTGTTTCGAGAGATACACTCGCAATATTCTGAATAAATAAATATATGGGCCGGCATTTTTGGAAATCATATTGTAGGACCTTTCTTTATTCCTGGAAACTTGACGGGCGAGACGTATTCGTGAATGTTAGAAAATACAAAGGAGTCACGAATATCGAAATAATAGAAAATGACGTTAACTATAATGAAAATTATATTGGACACCCATTTCCCAAATCAATGGATCGGCAGACGAGGCCCCATCAAGTGGCCGCCGAGATCTCCGGACACAAGTCTAACTTTCTTTGGGGGCTTCTGAAAAGTTTTTGGTACGAAGCCAGATT